GGTTATTTTATGTAAAACGTTTATAAATATTCTAGTTATGGTCATCAATATAAATTTTTAAAACTTTTGAGATATTTAGTTTTTCAGTAGAATACATGCCCAATATCTCATATATATGAATGAAAATATTAGTCACTAATAAGAAAATAAAACACTATTCATTTTTATGTGATTTAAAAAAAATATAAATTAAAATTTCATAAGGAAATCACGACTTGTTATTTTTCATGAATATAAACTTACGTTTAAAAAAAATAATTTAAAAAAATAATCAACTTAATCAATTAGAATTGAGATTCGTTATTTAGGTAATTATTTTTACATTTATTCTATTGAACGACTTTTTTTAGTAAGTCAAATATATATATATATATATATATATATATATATATATATAAATATATATATTCCTATTGAAAATGCCAAAGCCAAAGGAATGCAATCTCCATAGTTCTGCATAAATGTCCTTCCATTTGAATTCTCTCCTCAATATCTGCATTATTAAATAATGTCCGGAAAATATTCCAGAATTTATTTCCCACTAGCTTTAAAATTATTACTTAATACAAATCATAAAAACTTAGTTCTCATAAAATTTGCATTAAAATTTCATTATTTATGCAAACATTAATTACATAAGATGCATTACGTTAATGAAAGTTTTCAGATTTTTTAGTGTTGAATAAGAAAGTGTTCTGTTGCATTTGAATGGGTTATAAAATTATATCATAGATTTAATATTATGGTCTATTGTGTACGTAAGATTAAAATATTTGAACCGAAATACAAAAAAATTGCTTTCAACATAAGCATAAATGTTAATCATTATAATCCAGCAAAACCATTATTAAAAAAATGCATTTTCTATTTCATACTTATTGGTACTTCCTAAACTCTTGTTTCTACGTAAAATAAAATTTTTACAAAATTGTACAAAATTCATATAAATATTATTATTGATAAAATTAACAATTTATTGTTGGTATAATTAAATAGATCTCTAAATCCTCTTGCAAAGTTATTTGATGTAAACTTGATCATGTATCTTTAAGTTTTGCTCCTGAGCTCCTTTAACAAAGTTTCTAATTCTGAATACTAATACCAAATATCATTAGAAGTTTGGAACTTGTTTTAAATTATATGCACTATCGATTTGTGAAATTATAGTAACTGTATTGCTTAAAATACATATATGCGAGGAAATTTATTAATGCACACTAAGACGTTATTTATAATTCAAATCAATAGCAATGAATAACTTAAACTTTTTTCTAAAGTCCCAGAATTATAGGAAAATTAATTGATCAATCAATGATATGTGTGTGTATATATATATATATATATATACATGTATTATATATATATATATATATATATTTAATAGATAAGTCCTGGATTTTTTCAATATATTGATTGTTTTTTTTCCGAACAGTAAATCCAATAATAAAAAAACAATTTGTTTTTTGAAGATGTTTAATACGACGTTTCGGAACTATGTACGTTCCATCATCAGGTTTATTCTGTAATAATTTATATATCCATATCACTAATATTTTTTTTGTTAAAAACACTCGATTTTTTTGGAAGATATTTGTAGATGTTACGACTACACAAGACTTCGACTTTTAACTGTAGATGTTACGACTACACAAGACATCAGTGTGTTTAAGTCTTGTGTAGTCGTAACATCTACAAATATCTTCCAAAAAATCGAGTGTTTTTAACAAAAAATAGTGATTGGATAAAAATATAAATTATTACAGAATAAACCTGATGATGGAACGTACCTAGTTCCGAAACGTCGTATTAAACATCTTCAAAAAACAATTGTTTTTTATTATTGGATTTACTGTTCGGAAAAGAAACAATCAATATATATATATATATATATATATATATATCTAATTATTTATGAATGATTTTCATTTATGAGGCAGATGACCAATTGATTAATTTAGTAAAAATCAAATATATATATATATATATATATATATATATATATCTAATTATTTATGAATGATTTTCATTTATGAGGCAGATGACCAATTGATTAATTTAGTAAAAATCAAATAATTAGAAAATTGTTATATTATCATTCCAGATGATCATTTTGTGAATATTATTTAAGAGCATCAGATAGTCTTTTGAAGAAATTAAGACTTTCAAAAATACAATTCAGCAATTTACATAAGACATAAAAATTTGAAATATCTTTTCAATTAAGTTAATTATATTAGAAATAAAATCCAAAAATATAATTTGAAGTAATCGCATATTTGGGCACTGCGATGTATTAGAGTTGGCAAAAACTGTTCCACTTTTTTGAAATTGAGTTCATCATATTATAACAATTTTACTATCGATCTAAATATCTACACCTTCTTTAAAAATATTCTTTTTTGCTTTTCTATTTATTTCATGGTTATTTATATATAGAAATATTCCGCTATTTTTGTATCTTCCTAAGTAAATATTTTTACCCACATGAGCAATCTACAATTGCTAGTTTCTACCACAGATAGGATGAAATGCCATTCAATAAATTTTCTATTCAGGTTGTCCGTTCCGAATATATATATGTCATAGAATTGAATTTCAAATCAATTCAAAACCACATTCACCACCCCTGGATCGATCTGAATTCTCGATGTTGTGACAAGTTCTGGTGGAAATACATCAAGCAAAATGGTAAAGGACTAATAATAAAGTTGTAGGAAATATACAAATAATATATATATATATATATATATATATATACATATACATATATATATATATATATATATTATATAACAAATGTATTCTGAATGGATAATAGTAATTATTTTGGAAATATGAACAAACAACACTCTTTTTTGCACTAATTTATCAAATAATAATTTTCACATTAAAAAAACGTTTCGACACTAGGTTTGTCTCATCATCAGTGTGTTATAATTCAAAATTTAAAATATGGAAATCTAAATTAGCATTATGTGTTATCCGTTACAAGTCGTTCGATATACTGTCTTCTGCCCCACCAACGATCGTCGGTGCAATTCAATCAAAGTTTGTATGGAAAGAGCATGGAAAAATTTTTGAAAATTAAAAAAAATGTTTTAGGTATAACTTAGCGACAAATGAATGAGTTTTATTCATTCATTTGTTCGCTAAATTACATTTAAAAAACATTTTTAAAATTTTTGAAATTTTTTCCATGCTATTTCCATACAAAACTTTGATTGAATTGCGCTCTATCTAAACGTTAATATTAAGAGCTAAAACTTTCAGAGAATTGTTTTTTATCAATTTGAAACCATTTGAGCCCATGGGAGCAAGGAAATTCGAAAATGACCATTTTAAGGACCACCCTAATATATATATATATATATATATATATATATATATGAACTATTTATTTTTTACTTACGAACTGTACTGGCTTGTGGATGTGCCTCAAATACTATCACAGCAGAAAGTTCTCGTTTTACGGAATTGGACAAGTGTGAAAGAGCCGTTATGTGCAGAAGTTCTTCATAAATAGTTTCCAAGTCGTCCTGAGTCCGTTCATGGCTCCTGATAATAAAAAACACAAAATTATGTAAGTGGAACTATAAATTGACCAAGTTTTTGGGAAAGGGAGAAGTCTACCAAGATTGCCAAAGCATAGTTCTGAACTTTTATATCACTAATTGGAGTAGATTAGGCTTTGGTAATAGGCATTGAAGTCTAAACAAAATTTATAGCAACAAACTTTATCAAAAACAACTACAAACACAAATCTAGAACAAAAGTCAACCAGAAAGAAATAACAGGATCCATAGTAAAGAAGGTAACATGCAATTTGGCCAAAATTTTATAATATTTGTATTATTATAATGATTTCTTACGGTTTTCTAAGTATCATCCTCAAAAGTGCATCAGAAGCCCTGTGTGCCAAGGCTGCAAGAGCGTCTCTGACATGTTCTTCAGCCCTGGCCAGTTCTTCCATACTTGGAAGAGCATTGTTGTTACTTCCAGTGGTTGCACCTCCTGGTGGATCTTCATCTTGACGAAACCGATATAGGAAACATTTGTCTTTGAAGGGTTGCTCATGGGCAACTGGAAAAGAAATAATAATAAATTACCCTGAGATTAGATACTGATAAGGATTTTTTTTTGTAACAAAAATTTATTGTGAAATATTCAAACTTGTATGCAATGTATAGTATATATAGGCATTGTATACAAAGTTTAGAAATCTAATTAGATAATTTATGGAAAAATCCATTGCTTATAGGTATATGAATCTAGTCAGATAATTTATGGATTAATCCAATGCTTCAAGAAGTCTAAAATAAATCGTGCAATACAAGAATTTTAATTAAATCATGAATTAGTAAAAAGTAATAAAGTTTTTGTTAATTAAACTATATCCAATCCAATTTCCACCTGGTAATTTTTTTGCTAATCAATTTAAACATTTTTAAATTTTATTTCATTTCAGAAGCTTGAACAAGCACTTGTTCTATGATTCAATTATGAATTGAAAGCTCTCGAGTTTGTCCACCTAAAGTACATAGTCGTCGAATAGATTCTAAAAGTTTACTGGAATTTAATTTAGTATAAACCGAAAAAATTCAAAATAGTAAAAATATTAAATAAACTGGTGGTGTATGGCATCGTGCCTTAAGGCAAATTGCTGGAACTTTCCCTACCGAAAGCTAAATCATCAAAAGAAACATTGAAAAAAAAGAGATTTTTGAAAAAATTTTAAATTTTTGAATAGTTGATTCTTTTGAAAAATTTGACTTTTTTATAATTAAATTTGTTTATATTTTGATTTTTTTCGTATTTAGTTTTTTTTTTAAATTTGTAACATTTTTTCAAGCAATCACGCTGCATAGCTGATTTCAAGTGAAAATAGCATCTAACTGAATTTTTTTTGGCACTTTTTGCCCCATATCTCCAAAACGGTTAGACCTGCCTTTGCCAAAAACTCGTCGAATAATCATCTCGTCTCCTTATCAGAAGTAATCGAATGTTTTTTGAATTATTCAAATCGATTGTTCGGTGATCGCAAAATCGTCGACGAAAATTTGTATCAGCACATACACACACACATACACACACGCATACGTACATCAATTTTTACTAAAATATGCCAAAATGTTCAGAAACCTTAAAAACGTGAAGATATATAAAAAATTTCATTTTCGATTTTTTTGCAATCACTATATATAAATAATAAATAACAAAATAACTCAGAGATTTTGTAGATTGCTGGAAGTACTAAAATCTTATCACCTGAATAAAACCTGTATACATTCTTCTAACACTTTCAATACTAAGTTCTACTGTCCTAAAAAAGGTTGTGTTTCCAAGAAGATCTAAAAATATATCTCTAAAATCAAATTAGAAATATTTTTCAGAGTTTGCTTTGTCACTTAGGTGGCGACCATTAATCACGTGAGGTATAGGGGGGTTTGACAAAAAATTACGAAATATCACATGAGGGAGGGAGGAATACAGTAAGATATTACCTGTGTTTATTTTTCACCTGTATTTTCTAAAAAAATCTACACATTTAAAAAAAATCAAAAATTTTGCGTATCACCAATAGGGAGGCGGGTTCAAAAATCCTTAAAAAAATCGATCAGGTAATTAATGAAATGATCAATATTCGTATCAGAATCGCATCACTAAAATCATCCAAATTTTTCATATTTTTTGGAAAATCAAAACAGACAACAGTACGAGTTTTCGTTATAAATTTAGGTAAAAAATCTAGTCAAGTTGTTTTCCTGTGACAAACTAGAAAAATCTAGTCACCAACTACAACCAAATACCCAATTTCTATTTACCTTTGGATAAAGGTATTTTCCTATTATATTTTGAGAATCTTTTCTCAAAGTCGGATTGGATATTGTTTCCAGGTATTGGTCATGTATTTGCCTTGTGGCTTATAATAAAGTACCTACAGTACATCGTGTATGGGAACAGAATTCCATTATTAACTACTAGGACCACCAGACTATGTGGCGACCGGGTAATGCAGTTTCTGAGAGAGAACATGTTCAATTAATTGACGTTGTTGAAATTTGGAACACCGGGGATTATAACCGCATTGTAATTTGTAATTAAAATTGAGGAAGATTAATTGTAAACTGATAACTAAATTAAAACTACTAAATTGTAATTAAGAAGTTGAAAAATCAATCGCATTTCCTCATTACTTTATATTAAAATTACAAATACACATTATAATTTGAAGTCGAACAAGTTGGTGGTTGAAATTTTTCTCCCCATCCACCAATTATTCCTGACCACGAAGCACCTGATTAAAACCCTTGAATTTAAAGAAAAACATGATGGTGTCAAATTGTATCTAATTCAGTTTTTGCTAATAAAAACTAAAAATTTTATACACTTGGGATAATGATGCTTCTTGGAAGATAACAAAAGGTCATCAATCAAAATGATATACAAAACAAACTTATTTAATTCCACGCGAATATAGTTTTTGATTTTTGACAAAAATGCGCACTTACTTAGTGGCTAACCTGATAACTACAAATTTCAGTTCCGATTAAATAAAAGATTTAACAAAAAGATATGTACAAATTATAATTCCGTTCTGAGTTAAGAAAATGTCAACTCGTCAAATGTAGACTCGTTTAAACCGATTTAAGGTATTGGCAAAAATATAGTAACCACATTATATGTAGAATTTTAAATATATGAAACATTCTTGTGGGATATGATAATATGATCAGGAAATAATCAATTGAAGCTACAGAGAATTGTAGAGCCTAGGATTGCTAAAACTTGGAACACTTGGGGTGACCATTGATTGACTGGACTATCTTAATCCAAGATTATTTAAATAATTAATAATCAAATACTCTTCAATAACATAGCATAACATAAATCAATAAAAGTATTTGGAATTTCTGTATCCTGAATGCATATTTGAGATATTTCTTAGAGACAATATAAAGTCAAAGTTTCTATTTTGCCTTTTTTGTTATTGTCTAGAATAAGATTGTCTAATTTTTTTTTTATTATTGTCTAAAATAAGAAATTTCATTTCACTTACCATGTGCTATAACTCCTTCCTCCAGCAAGGCCTGCCACATGCCTTGGGCTTGCAGACGTCCATGTACTGCAGGAGACAGGGCGACCAGCCAGTCCACCAACTCTGTGCCAGGTGCACATCGTCTTACTGGTTTACCTGGTGACAAAAATTAAAAACAAGATGATTTTTTATAATTTTTTTTGTAACAGCAATCAGAACCTTACGTCCTATAAACTGTTGGATTGAAACTTCTCCTTACTTCGTATTTTTAGATGGTAACCCAATGGTTAATCCATCAATATTTGATGATTTTTGTTATTAGAATTAATCTAATAGGGCTGACTTTTTATTAGTGCAGCAATGCCGAACAAGGGCTATTTTCACTTGGAAACATATTGCTATCTATATTTTCAAGTGGAAATCGTTGTCACTGCTGCCTGACAACAGGCTGCACGAAGTGAGTATCGAACCCGGGACCTCTGAAACAAGTCCCGTCGCTCTTAATTAATTATCAAAGTCATTTTATTTTTACAATACCTGATAATTTTCTGTCTTTTAAACAACCTCCAGTTTCGCTCAATAATATTACTCGTAAGGCCCAACCTATGCGAGCCATTGCAGGGCTGGGTGCCTAAAAATAAATAAATAATGAATTATTAAATTATATAAATAAATAAATATTTAAATAAATTAATTCATAAATAAATGAATAAATAAACAAACACATGCATATGATATAACTGAATAAATGGATGAATTACATAAATGATACTTGAATAATGATTATTTAATCATGGAAATATATAAATGACTAAAGATTAAATTTTTTGAAGGAATTAAAGAAAAATCTGAACTAATGATTTATTGAATAAATATATAATTAAAATGATTCATTAATAAAAGAATAAGAATAAATGTTAGCAAAATATTCATAAAATGAATAAATAAGCAGAGTAATATATCAGCAAAAAATGTAAATGCTTAAATAAATGAATGAATGCGTTCATAACAACAACAACAATGAATAAATAAATAAACTGAAAAATAAATAAACTTAAGAATGCATACACAAATGATTGATTAATGAAATAAATATATAAATGAATCGAAATGGAATAAAAAAATAAATTATACGAATGAATAAATGAGTAAATAAATATACGATTTTAAATTGAGTAATTTGGTGAACATGTCGGCTAATTAAAAATATAAAAATAATATTAAAAATTAAACTAAGTGAAATGAATAAAAAATTATTATATTATGAAAATCCAAAAAATTAACATTCGAATAAATGAATAAATATTGAAGATTAATATAAAGACGAATAAATGAATAAATGAAAAAATCAATTATTAAATAAACGAACACATAAATAGTGAAGTAAATAAATAGATAAAAAATAATAATAATTAATAAATAAACAATGAATGAATAAACAAATGAAAAAGTGTAAGAATGAATAAATAAGTAAATATAACAATAATAAATGAATATATTAACAAACAAAAACACAATTTATCAACTAAATGAATAAACAGAAAAATACACAAATTCAAAAATAATAACAATTAATAGAATGATAAATAAATGAATAAATAAATTGAAATATAAAAAATATAAACTATAAGAATTAATAAATAAATGGATGAACGATTAACTAAATACACGAATAAATATAAGAACAATGAAATCAATGAATAAATAAATGTGTAACGAATAAACTAAAATTTTTGGAAAATTTTATAAATAAATCTAGAAAAAAAAAATTAAAATAATAGTTAATAGGCTGGATAAATAAGAAATTCACAAACTGATAATATACAAAAAATCTGAGAATAAATAAATAAGTATATAAATATGTATGTAAATAGATGTTTGATTATTTTTTCCAAAAAAGTGCGCAAATTAAAAAAATACTGGCAAATAACAAAGATTTATTGGACTTAAATAATAAATCAAATACTAATCTATTTTGTATTTGTGTTGTCAAAAATTGTATAATTGTACAAATAATTTATCTCGTTATTTTGGTTTATGTATACGTAATGCAGTCAAAAATGATCTAAATTAAAGATTTTGTAAGCTCGTTGATACATTAATAAATAAGAGTTATTATTAGTTGTAAAAATAATAAAGCTTATAAATTTTTATATGGTTTTCGTGAAAAATCAGTACAATTTAGATAGCATTCTCAATAAAATCCGCAATGTCATAATTCTGATTTCGTTCCAAAAAACCCCGATGAAAACTCAATTCGTCTACGCACTTTATCCAAATATCTATCTAATGCACATATTTATTTACCGATAATTTAGTGACGTAAACATTACTAAATTAAATCAATTTCATGGCAAACACTATCGAAAACCATTCACGACTGATTAAACATTTCGATACCGGCAACGTCACTCGATCGAACTACGTCAGACCACAATTTTCCAGATTTTCACCTAAAAGGTGCTTTCCCTGATAAGAATGATTCGAGAAAAAATTGTGGAAAACATCGGAATAAATGAATATTTTAGTGCGTAGAGAAGGAAAACAATGAAAATGCGTATTTTGTGGAGAAATTTTATTACCTCTGTTATGGGTTCGGCAGGGTTTGGTCCGTCTAAACTGTGAGAGCTTTTTCCTGTTGGAGAACCTTCTCGTTGGGTGCCTGTGAGACACACCCCTGGTCCAAATCCTAAAAGAAAAATAAAAAAGGATTAAATTAAAAATATAGATTTTTAATAATACTATAAATCTTCTAGCATTACTAAGTAAATGGTTAAAAAAAACAAATAAATATTGTTGAGGCGTTGTAAATCAGGTTGTGGGTTTTTATCATTATTGTAATAATTTGCATTTTGAGAGTTATGTATAGGTACTATATATAGTGCGGGCATATTATTGCTCAAATAAAATTCTCATATAAATTTAAACAAAGCTTTGTCTCTAAATCAATATTAACTGAGTAGTTAAAATTGAGTTAAAGTATCTGTAACAATACCACCATAAAAAGTCCATAATTAAAAATAAATTGTCATTTTAATTTAATAGATATATATTTTTTTACAAAATGTGAATTACATATAGATATAATATTAATTTTGATACAAAATTTCAAGATGATCCTCAGCTGCTAGGTAATACCTAATTGCTCTCTAATTTAAAGTAAGAAATAACTGCCTTCTCAGTAACAATATATTATTAATAACTAAATTTGAATCGATATATTTTCTCTAAAAAATATATCTAAATCTTCGATATATACTTTCATCTTTCCCAAAACTTTTATTCATTACCAAACTTTTCCATCTGAGATTCAAAGAATTTATTTTGCAAAACGTGTTACATTTTCGATTAAGAGTTTGCAAATCGAATTCCAGTAATTGAAGTATCGTCCAAATAAATAAATAGATTTCGTGAAATGCTGAAGGGATTTGATTCGAATCGAACAGGATTATGTATGTGGATTTGGATATAAAGTCAATATTTAATTGAACTTTTGAATTAAATGATATAGCATTTAACCACAATATTTTCCAATAGAATTGCAGGCTGTGTATTTAAAATCGCAATTTGAAATAGAAAGTGCATTTGTTTAAGTGATATTTAATGTAACAAAAAAAATTTTTTCCAAAAAACTATTTTTTAGTTGCACATATATGACTGACATGAAACTATATGAAATCTTCATTTTTCCTTTATTTTTATTTTATATTAAATCATCATACTACGGATATCATTTTAATAAAAATACTATCCTTAAATTAATTTATCATATTTAAATTTTTGTTGTTGTTCATCATTGTTACTAGATGTTAAATTATTTAACAGTTGTAATAAATTTTGTAATAAAAAAAATTCCTTCTATCAAATATTAGACAAATAAGTCTAATATGACTCATGTGGCACATCTTAGCGTCAGACACATCTGACTGACATGGCAATCAATATGTATATATTGTTTATAGATTAAAAACTATTAGATTTATTTAAATACGATATAACTTATTTCAAAAATAATTTGAATAATCTCTTAATATCATATTAGATACTTGATTACTATAGTAATTAAATTTAAATAATTTTCTTACCATTTTTCAGTTTTGGATTCGCCACTAATTCGCTCATCAACTCTTTGTTTTTCTGAAAAGAAAAAAAGATTTTAGTAAAATAATGTATCAAATAATTCAAAAAGTCAAATTAACATTTTAATTAAAAAAGTATACATTTTGAGATCAGAAAAGTACTTCAGTTTAGAATAAACTTATTTTCATTCGTTCCATTCTTATTTTATTAATTGACAAAGTTATTTGGCTAAGTCACATGATAATATTGAAGTAATTTAAAAAATATTATAATATTTATAGAATAATAATATTTTATATCCTAAATATTTAGTCAATAATATGATTAAAAACGGGAGAGAACATATATACTCAATTTTAATATTAATAAAAAAATTCTTTTTCCAAAAAATGATAATTTATTCTGAGCTCACGTGATTTTCAATTCCAAAATTATATAATTTAATTATTACGTATTCATCTTCGTTCAAAAATAATAAGAAATTACAAAAATTAAATTGTTTGTCAAATATTATTGATAAAATTAAAATTTAATTTATAATAATGAATTATAATGAATAATATTCTTATTAAATTTGTCTATCTTTTGCAACAATTTTGAAACTATTTTTTCCTATAATAAAAGTATATTTATCATAATTAATATTGCTAATTTTATGACTGCAATAATTATATAAATAAAATATGTTAAATTCATATAACTTGTTTTAATAAACTGAAGTAACAAAAAATTGTTGACCTAGAAAATAATTCTGTTTCTTTATTAATCATGATTGTAAGATTATAAATACTAGAGGTATTTAGCAATAATTTAAATACTATTTTTTTATCGAATTATATTGATGTTGTTTTTATAGGAAATATGATTATGAATTAATTATAAAGTAGAAAAATATTTTTATTATTGATACTGGTAATTTTAATTCAATCAGAAAAAGCAAAACTTCATAATATAAAAATGATAGAAACACAATTATGGTGAAACATTTTTTATTGTTCATTATTTAAAAAAAAATTCTGGATGATGACACATACCTAGTGTCAAAACGTGCAAATATACAATTGTCTATATATATATATATATATATATATATATATATATATATATATACATAAATCTATTTTGATTTTAATACGACGTATTATTTACTATAGCCAACTGGAGTCATTTGTGTAATAAATTCGGTGTCATATAAGGTCGTTTGAATTAAATTCAATTAATTTGTGTCGAAACCGTTTTAATATGTTGGCTTAAATATAAATATACACAAAACCCTGCTTTAATGTTTCAGAACACATGTAGAGAAAAAAAATATTACCAATAAAATAAAGATCTTGAAATTATAAGAAGAATTGTTTTCTTTTCTTAGACATGCATTCAAAGTATATATTTTCAATTTAGTTCAAAGAAATTTTTGAAATGCATTTTCTGATTGCTAAATAAAAAAATCAAGAAGCAATAAAGATAATAGAAGCCTAAGCCTAAAATTTCAAAAAATGAGAGAAACATAAATTTTACATTCGCCTTTGATAATAATCATATTTAATAGAGTGGAGTGGAGCATAAAGGTCCAATTTGCAAAAATTATAATGCAAAAACCAAACCAATTATATGACAACAAATAACACATATCAAACAAACAACTATTTGACTATGTTCAGTAACACTCCCAGCTAATTCATTATTGTAAAAATTAGCTTTTTTGCTGTTTTTCAAAAATTTGTTACGTGGTCCTTTTTACCCCATAGGTGGTGTAAAATGGGACGGCCAGTGAGCAAACAGATCCTATGTCTTATTTTCAATTTTTAAGAAATTTTACGAAATAATATAAATTGTGAAAAATATAAATTTCATGGGTACATTTTTTACATTGATAACACTGTATATATAATATAACCTTGATCTGGTATTTTGTCAAAAATATTCATCAGCAGAATTGGAATAACTATTCATTTAATTTATATCTTGTAAATTTGCTTTGTTTAACCTAATTTACTTTTACATTCACTATTTTTTTATTATTTACATCTTTACCAGGATAAAGGTTTAGACGTGCCTTGTTACCCCAACCAACTTGTGTAGGCTTTTATAGGGGTTATATTAAAATCTGTTGAATCTAACTTAAAATCATTAATAAATCTTATCAAACAGTTAAATAACGTATACTTATAAATTATTTCAAGCTCTTGTAAACTAAACAACAGTGCTCACAACCAAAAAAATTAACAACGAAAGAAAATACTTCTGTTACGGATTTCAAAACATTTCTGTATATCTTATGATAGAAAAATCGTAAGAATTAAGGTGATGATTGGTTATACATCTTTTGCCCTCAAATATTGTTGTCAACAAAATTTTTACTTTACTTGGTTTTGAGATATCGGTGGTGGTCCTTTTTAGCCCTGCATTACTCTACTTGTTTTTGACAAATATTAAAAGACAATATTTTTGTAAATTTTATTTTATTTTAAAAATATTTGCACGCATTTTTATACAGTATCTCTGATACAAAATATGATACTCATAAAAATATGTATTTATCTCTAAAGAAATCGATTTTCATGTAAATATCGAGAGCTTTTGTTATAATCGGATCGCATTTCCGCGATAAAAACTTTATATAATATTATCTGCACGTGAAAATAGATTAAATTTGCAAAACACATGTTGAAAATTCCTTTCATAATAAACTACTAGAGAAAACTCATCTTCCGTAATAATCCCATGGAAAAATTCCTATTATTAATGGTCAAAATAAATAAAAAATGAAAAAAAAAATACTATTTTGATCTTAAAATTAATTTTATGGATACTATTGATACATTTAATATACTAAGGGTCTAACTATATTACAAAAGTTTGTAGAATATTTTTGATCTTGAGTTTGTTTTATATCTCAAATCTGCACAGATTTAATTTTCAGATCCCAATTGTAATTTTTATATGGATCCATAATTTTTGTTGTTGTTATTGTTGCATGAAAAACGATAAAAAAGTTAGACCAGAAGAAAAAATATTATAATATTTATAAAAAATATTTTTTATTATTACTTTAGAATTTACTCCATAAAGGAGAAATCTCTGTTTAAAATGAATAAAAGCAAGGTTTTATTTCTTTTAAACATTATGAATTTGAAAATATTATTTTCCATTTATATGCTTATTTCGGATAGTACGTAAACATTATTTATGCATGTCTTTTTTAAAAGTTCATTTGCAATTTAGAAATTTTGCATACAAAAAAATTTGCATACAATAATCCGTGATCTTGTACCTATTGTTCCCGTCAGGTTTCTAATCATTAGTTATATATATATTTTTTTGAAATGTACAAATAAGCAAAAAAGAAATAATATTTGCCATTCATTATAATATAAATAAAAATATATAATTTTAAAATATCTTTTATCAGATATGGAAGATTACTTTTGTGGTATGAGATTTATTTTTTTAATGTTGAAAATATTTACACTTCATTTATAAAGTACAATTTTTTAGACGTGGAAAATTATTATTGTCATAAAAGCTTTATTTCTTAAATTGTTATCCATAAACTCTTTTTTTAGTTAGTCTTTTTAGTTAGAAATAATTTTTCTTTAGGTAAAACAAATGTGAAAAATGCCTCAAAATTTTGTTTATTGATCAGTTTGATTTATATGAAGACTATTTGCTCTACAAATGTTTGTTTTAATAAATAATATAAAATATTAATAAATAATATATATTTCGAACTCATATATTTATATAATTTTTGTAAAATATAAAACATTTGCAATTAAGTCTAATATAAATAATTTCTGGTATAGTATGCAAGCAGTATAGTATACAAATGGGTAAATATTTTACAAAATACAAAATCACATTTTTATTATTCATAAAGTTTTTTTGATTTGCAGAATCTAACCATTGTTAATAATTTTCAGAATTTATATAAATGTAAAAAATAAAAAATAAACTTACTTTCAAAATTTCAAACATCTTGAATTATTTTGCAAAACTCTATTCAAGAAATTTTATACTTTTTATTTTACCTATATAATAACATCATATTTTTTTTAGTTTACTAAAAGCGGTTAAAATATAATTATAAATTAATCATATTTTTTTTATAATTTTTCACTATACATTTAGCACTAAACACTGTAAATAAAATTTTTAATAAAAATTTAATAAAAAATCATTATTTTGTTAATATATTTTATGATTATGAATTTTCTTTAATTTTTATCTCGTCTTGGAGTTAATATTTATAATATATTTAATAAATGTACTAGAAATTATAATTATAAATAAGAAATTATTTGGATTTTGTAAAAAAAATGCACTAATATTAGAAATTTTTATAAAACACTTTTATAAAAATTAAATAATTTTCTTTTCACTTCACTTTCTAATATTATTTAAATTAGTATTTTTATTTTTATTTTTATTTATTTTATTTTTATTCATTAACATATTTATATTAGATATATTATTTATGACTGTATTTGGTTTACTATAAGTAAGAAATGCAATTTTAGTAGTATCCAATTAATATTAAAAATAGTACATTTTACTAAAATTGAGAATAAATTGTAATTAATTTGATTGAATTTGATTTGTTAGATTTTATACTTGTGTTTGGTTCAAGAAATCCTCAATTTAACTATTTTTTATGAATTTAGCATTTTTTTCATTATTTTACTTTTTGAGTCAAGACAAGATAAAACAATTATTTGTTATTAACTTTTCATGAATATTTAGTAAATATTTATAAGTAAAATATTACACATTCACTGTCACTCTTTAACTGGCGCAACATTTATTAACGCAACAAACGTTTCAAATTAATGCTGATTTATGATGTTTTTGTTCCCACTCACAGAAAAACTATACACAAACTAATTAAAAACAAAACTGCAAACATCGATGATAATTCTTGTTGTTTATAATATTGTTATTAATATTAATAAATTAAATATTTAATTAATTAATTTCTGTCAGCACGTTTGTGCCAAAGCGTGGTCGCACATCAAATGTTATATGGGAAAGCACATATGTGTATTATGGGCTCGAGC